CATGAGCCATGAGTGATAGTCATATTTGTTCTTGTAATGTCAGAGTGACAGTTCTGCAAAGCCCCAGTCCTTCAGAGAGCTCAGTGTGGTATCAGGACCATAGCAGATCTTTTTAAAAGGAAACCAAAGCCAGAGATGCAGGTTTTGCTCAAAGTCACACAGTGACTGATTTCAAGTGTCCTGAGTAGTGTGTTCCCTTATCTTACAGAGCTGTCACCCTAGTCTAAGTAGTTCTTCTGCAAGGAGAGGGAGGCAAGGTAAAAGCATGGAGGTTGGAAGGGTACCATGAAACATCCTCACCTTTGCCCTCTCTGGCCCACAGGCAACAAGATGAAGTTCCTCCACAAGAAGAATTAAAATATCTTTCCCATTGCAGAGTCTAGTGTTTGCAGAGCCTGGGGAGAGGACCTAGCATGGGACTCTGTAGGCTGTTGTGGCCACTCTGTCCCTACAGACCCCACCTCCAAGCCAGTCCACCTCTGCCTTCACCATATCCAGGATACTGTTTGTAAATAATCTGCTGTAAGCTTTCATAACTGTCTTTGTAACAAGCAAAGAGAAGCTGGTAAATATTTGTATATTCCTAAAGGGCCGGGTGCTCTCCTGCCTTGCCTGAGCATGGATGGAGTCTTGCTGGGTGCTGGTGACTGTCTCAGCCAAACCACTGATGTTTCCTGAAGGCTTCTGGCCTGCCTGCCTGAGATCCCTGCTGCCAGTCTCAGGCCCTGGAGAGCAGGTGCTGTCTTAATTATGTACAAGAAGACTGTTTTTGTTTTTAAATTCTAGAGTTTCTATTTTTTTTCTTCTTAGTAGTTCCCTATTCCCCCAAGCCTCTGTTTCTGAAAGGCAAGAACCACTCTGCCCCTACTTGCAATGTAGAGCCAGGTACTTGGGCCTGGTACTCTTGTTCCTTCCACCCTCTGACATGGTCCCTGAGTCATTGGAGCGCAGCTCCCAGTCAGTGGTGGCCATGATGCGGTACAGGGCATTCCTCCTTCCGTCGTCCACAGATGTTCTCAATAAACTGCACGTTCATGTGTGCCTAAGAGTCCCATGTGTTCTCTGGTTTCATTATCTGGTTATCTCCAAACACAGGTAAATCTGGATCAAACAGTGTCCTTCAGGTAGCTGGGCAGTTAGTAAAGGGGTTAATTTCACGTGGGCTGCTGGCCATCCCTGAACACAAGTTCTCAAAGTAGAAGACACCTGTCACTGTCCTCCTTCAACTTCCTTCTCTGGCAGCCCACTGCTCACTTGGGTGTTTCCAATGATGGAGAGTGCTCTCTGCCCACAAGCATCAAAACTAAGTGACATTATTAGGTAGCCTGACTCCACTGGACTGCAGCCCAAGTATTAACACTAAGCTGACTCAGCCCTCACCACTGCCAATGCCTCCTCTATGTCACTCTGAAGTTTCTCCCATTAGAATCCTAAGTATGCACACAGAAAGTTCAGCTACATTCTAGGGAAGATGGGAAACAGCAGCTTTACTTAGGTTCTTACCCATCAAGGCCTTTGTAGAATAGACCTTGGAAACTCCTGAGGTAAGGGATACTGGGATTGGGAGGATGTGACTGTAACATTTCCTGTCCTCACATCCTAACCTATTTAAACCAGATAATCCCATCCTGGGTTTCTTCCCATCCTCAACCCCCTTTTCACTGATGCCTATGCAAGGCCCCAGCCTGTCCATGGATATGCCTGCTACTTGCTTTAGAAAATATGTAGAGGGCTTGTCTTCTGGGAAGGCAAAATAATCTTCTGGAAAAGCCTCCTAGTTGGCTTTATATCAATAAAAAAGGGGAAGGACTGTGGGTTTCCAGATGAGGCCAAGAGCATATAACAAGAAAATTCCAAGTTGGGTGCAGTCACCTCCAGCTCTCAGCAGTTAGCTCAGCCTGGGATTCCTTAGGAAAAACACCCAGTTCCCCAAAGGTGCTTTTGCTTTGTCTGCTTGTCCTCATTCATATTTCCTCCTCCTTTGATGTGTGCCCAAAGAACCTCCAGACATATAGAAACTGGAAGTGTAAACTTTTCCTAAGTTTTTATCTATTTTTAAAATATAGTGCATTCTGATGCTGGAGCAATGACTCAGTAGGTAAGAGCACTGGCTGTTTTTTCTTCAGAGGATTCTGGTTCAATTCCCAGTACCCACACGGTGGCTCACAAGGATCTCTAACTCCAGAGGATCCAGACATACATGTTTGGTGAAGTAACTCATCTTTTTTGTTTTTCGAGACAGGTTTTCTCTTGGGCTTTGGAGCCTGTCCTGAACTCAGCGATCCGCCACTTGCCTCTGCCTCCCAAGTGCTGGAATTAAAAGTGTGCGCTACCAGCGCCCAGCACTCACTTTAATTCAGAAACCCCCATTTTGCAGCATGCCTGGTGTGTGTGGGGCTGGTGGAAAATTGAAGGCTTTCCAGGCTCTGCTTTCTTTCACACAATCAAGGATTCTCAATCCTATCAGGTCTATCAGGTCAAACCCTCCTCCAGTACCCCCTCCAAGTTTCTCCGTGTAATAGTCCCGATAGTCCTGGAAATTGCTCTACAGACCAGGCTAGTCTCAAACTTGCTACCACTGCCCAGCTCTTAACAGCAACATTACTATCACAACACAAAACTCATAGCTAACATGACCTATATAAATGTAATAAAGTTTATAACAAGCCACATGCCTAACACCTGTACATAGAATTACCGTGAAATTTGGTTACATAAATACTATGTCGTAACACTGGGCGGCGGTGGGCGCACACCTTTAATCCCAGCACTTGGGAGGCAGAGGCAGGCGAATCTCTGAGTTCGAGGCCAGCCTGCTCTACAAGAGCTAGTTCCAGGACAGGAACCAAAAGCTACGGAGAAACCCTGTCTTGAAAATCAAAAAAAAAAAAAAAAAAAAAATACTATGTCACAGATCCTACTGAATAGATGTCATTAAGGGTTTTGAAACGAACAAGTGTCACTTAACCTGAGTCAAGGCTGGCAGATCAGTGAGCCCAATGAATCCTAGTCTCTACCTCCCCAGTGCTGGGATTACAAGCATTTACCTACCATCACACCCGGCTTTTTTTCATGAATGGTGAAGGAACTTGTTCATTTCAAAACCCTTAATCATAACCACACATCACCACCACGTACACGTCTTTATTGCATTAAGGCTCTTGGCTAGCCAGGCACACTGACATACACCTGAGATGAATTCTTGGGTGCATAATGGATTATAGGCTAGTCTGGGCTACAGGAGACCATCTGAAGATCAAAACTGGGCTTTGAGAAGATGCCCTTAGTTGTCTCACCATTGTTACTTGTAGCATTCTGTTTTTTGAGGATCAATGAGGCATTTATCTTAACTGTTCTTTAACAAAAGTTGGGGAATGAGGTATGGGGTAAGAATCTGAATGATCTGAGCAGCAGTGGTGAAGCGATTAGTGACCACACCCCTATGGTTCCTCCATCTGAAAGGACAAGAGACCCTCTCGAAGCCCTGCTGTACTGTCCTCTCAGAAACTTCTATGGCTAATTTTGGTCAGCTTGTAGCCACCTCCATGCTTGGATTCAAAGCAAATTTTATCAGCAGTCCTGGGGAGGGTCAGAATGAGATCATTAGAGTGCTAGCTAGGTACAATCCTCAGCCCGTTCAAGTTAGATCTTTGCTTATGGCCCCTCACTGCTAAGGATACAATGTTTCAGAGCAGCTCTCAGTATATTTTCAAACAAGAACCTGTGGGAAGCCAGGCTGCAGAACTCAAGCCACCAACCTGGTCAGTTTTTGAAGGCCTTCATGGCTTTTAAGATTTATTGTGTGGGGTTGGAGAAATGGCCTAGCAGTTGAGAGCATTGGCTGCTCTTCCTTTCAAATTCCCAGCAACCACATGGTGGCTCACAACCATCTATGAGATCTGATGCCCTCTTCTGGCCTTCAGGCATACCACTATATATATAACAAATCTTATAAAAAAAAATCATGTATACATTGTTCTTGTTTTACCTATTGTTTATCTTTTAATTTTGAAGCTACCCTGTTGCTTTCTGGAGAACTTTAGAAAACAGTATTCAAATTTTGTTCCACAATTATCTATGGAATTTGGGAGAGAATTATCACAGCTTCCAAATTTTTGTTGGAAAGAAAGTATCCTTTCATGTATGTCTACTGTGTCCTCAAGTGACTTTCACAACTAGTGTGACTTGAAGATCATTGGCCAGCAGGTAAAAGCTCTTGCTATGTAATCCTATTCTAGGAACTCATGTACAAGACTACAAAATTGTCCTGATTTCCACCTGCACACAGGCATACCCATCATACACATCACTGTGTCCATAGTCAGTACTAGGGGTGACATAGAATATTGCAATTTTATTATAGTGGTTTTGTACTCAAAAACTTAAAAATGAACTTCCTGTGAACTAAGAGAACCCTTTGGTTAGTTTAACATTTGTTTCACAGGTATAGGCAGTTTTAAGACCAAGCACCCTTAATAAAAGCTCTCATCCTAAGGGATTGGCAGACAAGGATGAGGCTTGAGTTCTGGATCCCCAGCCCAGATGGCTTAGAGACTTTTCAATAGGAAAGTACATGTACTTCAAAACCTGGCCAGCTCTGATAGCCTTCTACCAACTATACTGCAAACCTTTCCCATAAAGGAAGGCCTGACTCAGACCCCAGCATTAGGTAATGAGACAGGACGAGAGCTGCAGCCTATGCAGAAATTATGGACAGCAGCGCCGATTCCCAACTGTTGTCAGAGGTATGCCAACAAGCTGAAAAGCTCAGGCTGTGCTAAATTCTTAACATTAGTCAATGTTTTTTTGCCATTCATGTCTGCTCATAAAACAGACTTCATACTTCATACTTAGCACAGGTCGTTCTGTCTGAACACTAAACTATGTAGTATAAATGTTTAAAACTTCAATATTGAAATTGCATTAATTCTGACTGAATTACCAGCTTTTAGCCCCTTTAGCAATTGGGAGCACGCTAAGTAAAAGCAGGGAACCACAGGTACTAAAAAACACTTCATTCTTGCAGGTAGTTAAGATACCATCAGTCGGTAATGGAGCCCCAGTGATCAGTCTCCACTTCACTGTCAGCACCACTCCCAAATCAGTAATTAATTCCATACCATTTCATCTGAGACCTGAATTCACTTTTCCTGCCCACCCTCTTTTCCTGGCCCTGCTCCAAGCCTAGTAGCCCAGTAATGAGCCATTATAGGAAACTTTTTGGTAGGAATATAGACAGCAGAATTTCACATTTTCTGAAAATTAACCCAACCGGATTTCTGGTCCAAAATACCTTTGTTTTTGAATCAAACCATCTCATTATGTGACCATAATACTGCACAAAGCAGGCTGGCCTCAAATCCAAGACCCACCTACCCTTGCTTCCAGAGTGCTAGGATTAAGGCATGTGTTGCCAGGTTGTTACAATTTTTCTTACAATACATTTTCAGCTAAAAGTAACGGTGTTTATCAGTTTCTTGAATAGCAAGACCCATGTACTATATATACATAGGGACATAATGAATTTATGACTGCTGCAATCTAAGCCACACTTGAGTACACACGGACATGTACACACAGGTGCACGCTTTGAGATGACCAAACCACACTGTGACTGAAATCCATACCTCACGTTTTTTCTAGGACCTATTGGACAGGTCCCAGCATACTGACAAGGATGCCTAAAAATGTAACCAAAGAACCTACACTCAGACCACTTGGAAAGTGTTAGCATTTAATTGGCCTCCCTGAGTGGCTTCAAGCCACCAGAACACAGGCACCTCCAACACCCTTTATCTTCTCTTCAGCTCTTCTGCTGAAAAATTTGGCTTTCACGATGACAGGCTGCTTAGGGAGCTTTCCCTTCCCCAGAACTTTGTAGTAGCCCTAGAAGAGAAAAAATATTCTTAATACACTACAGCAGATACTAAACATCCCAGGATGCAGGTAGGACTTGTTCTCCTATTTAAGATAGTCTGTGTAACCTTGGCTGGTCTGGAACTCAAATGTAGGAATGGCCTCACAGAGATCCAACAACACATCCATAGTGCTGGGATTAAAGCATGCACTACCATGGGCTCAGGTAGGACATGTTTCTGATCTGGGCACTAACAGGGACACTGAAGACCCCTACCAGTGAATCGAGACCAGCAGATTCTCTTCGAGAACTCTAGCACACCAGGACAACCACCATGTCGGGATGTGACTCTAGTCTCAGCTAAACACATACCTCCCCACTCTGCAGGTACCTCCACTAAATAGGCCGGGAATGGAATTATGGCTATGGTGTGGGTCTCTGCACTCAAACAGTGATGGGGGAAAAGCACTCTTCTCTATATAGGGCCTTGAATGAACACTGAACGAATTATGTACTCATGTTAAAACCAAACCTGTTAGAATCAGCATAAACATAGGAAAGCTTATTTACTGAAATGATCGATAATATTTGTTTGAAATGAAAGCAAAAATGTGTTCTCGGAACTCTCCACATTTAAGGACCAAAGACAGGGGGACAAATGCTTGTTGGAACCAATTTAATTACCTGCAACAATTCTACTAAAATGAGGGTTCTCTAATTGGCAATGCCAAATATATATAGGTCTGGCTCCAGAGGAGATAAAGAGGATCAAACTACAAGTTCCCTTAAGGATAAGAAGCACGCCAATTCACTCACCGATCGCACGACATCAATGATGGGAGCAACTCCGGTCTTGTTCTTGGCAGCGTTGACTCGGGTCTGCTCACTGACCAGCGTCCACAGTTTATCCAGGTTGACAGTCGGGCAGAAGCTCTGGTTCCTCTTTAAGTGGTAATGCCTCATCCCAACTTTCCCGAAGTAACCTGGATGACTGGGAAGAGAAGGCAAGCACCTTCAGAGCCTCCCTCCCCGCAAGCTCATCTTTGAAGTTCTCCCTTCCTAGTGCAATGTTAATTTTCACCGTCGTAAACTTTGACACAGCAGAAACTCGAAATACACTGAACGAGATCTTCAGTAGCTTCACTCACTAGCACCCATTTCAAGAGAATCCCTAAACGCCATCCTCTAAGGGCTGGATAAAAAGCCAACCTAACCTCCATTCTTAGCATGTCACTAACCTGGTGACTGACCGTGTCAGAAAGTCCACAGCCAGTGAATAAGGTCAGCAGTTATTCTTCGAGGACTCTAGCACACTAAGGCAACAATCAATACCTGAGCGTGACTCTAGCCTCGGACAGGTTCTGACACATCAAGTTGCTAAAGCTAGCAGTAACCTAAGTCAAGAAACCGATTTCTGAAGGTTCTAGGTTACCCTCTCTGTCCCTACCTCCAAAGCCGCCGCTGTCGGTTAAAACCGACCTCCAAGAAACACTCACTATTTATCGAAGTTTATCCTGTGATGATGCATGCCTCCAGCGTTCCCGCGTCCTCCTGGATGCTTGCGGTGTTTACCTGCAAACATGCAAAGCTACATGGCTATCAGCCTTCTCTAGATGGTCACTTTTTCGACGTTCCACATCACAGCGCTGTGCTTAACTTTCACTCCGCTACCAACATAAAATTATCTTAAATTGCACTAGGGTCTTTAAATAGGGAAACTGCTGTTCAATCCGACTGGCAACAAACAGGTTTTTCCTCTACTCGCGGCTAAGTTGTTCAATCGTTCAGTAAACACCAGAAACACAGCCCAAAGGCCTACCACGAAAGAGGCCCACACTTACCGATGCGGCCATGGCCGTGGCTCACGTGGCCCCGGAGTTTCCGGGTCTTCCTCAGTCTGGATGGCTATACGGGGAAAACCAGCAAAGTGGTTAGGCCTACGAAAAGGGTAGGCAGGGGTGAGCAACGCTTGCTGCCTGAAATATGCCTGCAATCAAGGACTTGCCTTCTGGAGCACTCAGCAAAGTTGAAGTTACCCGACGGGGCCGAACGCCCAAGCCCGCGTGTCTCAGGGATCCAAACCCCGGCTGGAACACGCGGCCCCAGGCTCCTCGCCCCAGACCCATGCGTGCCATCCCCCGCCCCGCAAGCTACGCGTAGCCACGAAGACCCACTAAGATCAGGGCAAGCAACTGAGATATAGAGAAGGAGAGCTCCGAACCGCCGCGAAGACGCGGAGGCCAAGAAAGGAAGACCTACCATGGCGGTGGCAGAAAGGAAAGAGGGAGGAACCAGCGAAGTATCGCGAGGTAGCAAGTGTGGGGGCGGGACGAATGCATCATTTCCGGCCAGGAAGCTGGTCTTGGGCGGGGCTGCGCCGACACCGGCCGGAAGCCGCCAGCCGCTTCCTTTCCGTGTAGGAGGGCGGGGTTTCCCGCCGGCGCTGCCGGCGTCTCGGAGCGAATCCTAGGAGCGGCGCAGCAGGCGGTGCGTTCAGATCACCCCGCTCTGTTCCAGTTGTGTGGTTTGCTGACTCCCGGCCGTTGGGAAGCTGCTTCACGGCCTCTGCCCTCCCTTGCGTGGGCACTACCCTTCTCCTTGCCTCTTGTCCCATCTTTATGTCAAGTTTGAACAGCCTGCTGTGCTTCAGGAATCTAGATTTCGTAAATATTTTGTATAAACACCACGTTTAAATTTTCTTCAGAACCTGGCAGATACGCACGCTCTTACTGGGACCCGAGGTTCCCAGCCCAGTGTGCTCCTGATGCGAGCATTTCCGGTGTGGGCCTTCTTGGACCTGTTTTGTCTGTTGTTTCCTTGAATCACCACACAATCTTGCAAGTAACTCTCTTCATTACCAAGTTAATTTGTCTCCCAATTGATCCCAAATACTTTAAAGGTTCAAGGACTGACCTTTTCTTTTTTTTCACTTTAAGTCCACGAGTTCCTAGTGTGTAGTATGTTTATTAAGAATTCAAAAGTGCTCTAAGTGCCCTGTGTGTGCACAAGATTCAATCCCCTAAATCTGTTAATTTTTTTTGTCTTGTTTTGCTAAAGAATATTCTAGCCAAAATACCCTAGATCCTCCTTATCTCTGTTAGAACCCTTTTCCTTTCTTCAGCCAAACTCCCCAGAGCTTGCAATGGAAATCTTGTCCATTTGCTAGCTTCTTTGTTCAGTGTTTTTTATTGTTGTTGTCGGTTTGTGTGTGTGTGTGTGTGTGTGTGTACTTTTTGTTTATTTGCTTTTTCAGACAGCATTTTACTATGTAGCCCTGGCTATCCTGAAACTCATTCTGTGGACCAGGCTGGTCTAGAGCTCAGATCTGCCTGCCTCTGCCTCCCAAATGCTGGATTTAAAGGCCTGCACCATCACCCAGCTTTTCTTCAATGTTTAATCCATTACAATCTGGGCAGTTCGGTTTTAGTTACACCATTTCCTCAAGATTAATCTTTTCTTGCATGTTTTTTTTTTTTTTTGGTTTTTCGAGACAGGGTTTCTCTGTGGTTTTTTTGAGGCAGGGTTTTACTCTGTAGCCAAGGCTGGCTTGAGCCTCCTGACTTTTGGAATTACACTCTCAAAAGATGTGATTGGCATGATGGTCTATAACTTACTCACTTGGGCTATAATAGTGCATCTATTGGCCTTATTTAGTTCCTGTGTAGGCAGCCTTATTGATGAGACTTCATGGGTGTAGCTTCTGCCTTTCATGGGAGACACTCTCCTAACAAAGCCTCTGCTCTCTGTCCCTCTTCTGCAATGGTCCCTGAGCTGTAGGTGTGGGAACTGTTTTATAGATTATCCAGTGGGACTGGACTCCACAACTCTCTGTATTTTGATTGTTTGTGTTTTTCTATATCGGTCTCTCTTTGCCTGTTGCAAAAGAGGGCTGAGGACTATTCTTATCTGTGAGTACAAGGGCAAATGTTTAGAACTACCCCTGTCTTCACTAGCCCTTTGTAGCTAGTTTTCTGGTACCAGCCATGAATTCCTTAAACTTAAACTTTTGATCTTCCAGTCTCAACTTCCCATATTCTGAGATTTTTAAGCATGTGCCAGCATGACCAACTTTTCCTGAACTTTTTATTTTTATTTATTTATTTATTTTGGTTTTTCAAGACAAGGTTTTTCTGTAGCTTTGAAGCTTGTCCTGGAACTAGCTCTTATAGACCAGGCTGGCCTTGAACTCACAGAGATCCGCCTCCCTCTGGAGAGCTGGAATTAAAGGCGTGCTCCACCACTACCCGGCTTTTCCCTGAACCTTAATATTCTGCTACATCCAATAGGACTCCGGACCACAATGGTATTAGCCCCAACATCTTCAGAGTGCTTTGAAATTTACAAAATGTATTGGCCTGAGGATTTAGGATGGTAGTTTCATTTTATGCATGAGACAAAAGAATTGTGTGATTTGTCAGACAAAGTTATATAGTTGGTGAGATACAGGGCCTGGGCCTAAACTTAGCTTTCTCTCTCCAGATTCCCAGTGTTTACCTCAGTGACCCCTCCTTTATGACCTCAGGACATTATGATCTTCATCTCCCCTTCATCTCACAGGCATTATACTACCTGTGACCAGCAGAGACAGGGGTTTGAGAATAGGGAACAAGATCTTAAAGACCGTCTGCTGTCTGATAAATGTGCAGGTGATGAGCCAAATTACGTAGAACTCCTATTGGGAAAAAGACCTGTCAATGGAGGTAAGGGGGACAGAGTCTGGGGGGAACGCAAAGGAACAGCAAGTGAACCTGAATGGCTTTGGATCAAGGGCCAAGTCCATGGCAAGGGCTGGAGATAGAATCCTGTTTCTGAATAGTTTGCCAATCCTCTGGCTACATCTATACAGAGGATGTGTAGAGAAGCTACATCCTCTCCTCAGGACACCTGTCTGAACAGACCCTTTCCTGAGTGAGTCCAGGACCCACTGTTGGCTCCTGTACTCACCCAAGAGTCTTGGCAGTAGCTTGATCTCTAGAGTAGAGACAGCATTTGTCTTTTCTTGGCAGCTCCCTTTCTTCCTCGCAAGGTAACTGGATGACTCATGGCTCCTGTGCTTGTTCAGCAAAGTAAGCTTCTTCAGGTCGATCAGCTCTGACAAGACAAGACAGAAAGGCTCAGTTCTGGATCTGCAAAGTTGAATAGCAGCCAGATGTTAAGGCATTAGGTTGCCCCTCACCCGCAGATGGGGCATGACCTCAGATGTGACCCATGAGAATTGTCCTTTGTGACAGTTCCAGGAAGTACAGCATAGTCTTGTGACGTCGCAGGCATTTGAGCTGCTTCAGAGGGTCAGGGCTCAGAAAATACTTGTGAAATGAAGCGAAGTGAGTTGACACCAGGCCGCAGCCACCTGGTGAGGCAGGTAAACCTCAGACCTCTCTTCATGTGGTCTTGGGAGCAAGCACACTGTCATCTGAAAGAGTGCCCTGGTGGCCCCTTTCTCTCTGTCACCTCTCTGGGCTCCTGGTTTTGCTCTGTATTTCAGACATCAGCAGTTCTTGGAAGTATGTATACTTCAGACCTGTTGTCTGTCACTTTTTTTCTGTTTGTTTGTTTGTTTCGAGGCAGGGTTTCTCTGTAGCTTTGGTACCTGTCCTGGAACTTGCTCTGTAGACCAGGCTGGCCTCGAACTCACAGAGCTCTGCCTGCCTCTGCCTCCTGAGTGCTGGGATTAAAGGTGTGCACCACCACCGCCTGGCTTCTATAGGGAGTTTTAAAATGTGTATGTAATAGGAAAATACATTAAAAAGGAATTCTTAAAAAGTATAGACATCTTGGATCATATTGCCTCACAAAGTTTCATGTCACTTTTCAGGTCACGGTTACATGAAAACATAGCTGCCTGCAGAGTTGATCACAGGAGCGTTAATCCTTGTGTGTGTATGGAGTATGTGCATGTGTGGGTGTGAATACCACATACATGGACATCAGAGGAGTCTACCTCTCTGCCATATTCTCTTGAGACGAGGTCTTTTACTGGACCTGAAACTTGAAGTTTTGACTAGACTTGGCTGAGCACCGAGCTCCTGGAATTCACCCATCTTCATCCCCCAACACTGGAGTTATAGTCGTGCATGGCTATTTATGGCTTTTATTAATATGTGGTGCTAGGCAGTCAAACTCTGGTCCCCGGACTTTCACAGCATGCGCTCTTAGCCGCTGAGTTGTCTCCCTTAGTCCTGTGTTATTCCTTCTGTAGTCTGCCTTTCTTTAATTCCATGACGTTTTCCTATCATTGCCCAGTAACGAGGATTTGTTCATCTTATTTCTCATGGTGTCGGGAGCTGACCCCGGTGCTTTGAGCATTCTAGGTAAGCACTGAGCTTCTACCTCTGCTCTTCAGGTTGGTCTTCAGCAGCTGAAGAGGAGTTTGCCTTCAGCCTACACTAAGCCATTTGCTTGTGTATTTTATTTTTGTGTTTTGGTTCTTACTGTTTTTTGCTAGAGACAAAGCTGCACTGAACATTCTGTATGACTTTTCCTTTTGATCAATAACTTGTCTAGAATAAAATCTCAGGAGAGATATTACTGAGTTATATATAGGGTATGAACATTTTGGGATTCATCTTATGTTGCTGTGTTTTCCGATGGACTGTACCAATTTGTGCACCAGCAGTAGGTGTGGTTTCTAATTCCGTTTCAACTTCTTGGTCAGAGCTTTGGTCTGCCCTTTAAGTAGTTTTAGATATATAGTATTTAGGGGAAAACCCATAGGCTAGCAGGTGTTTTCTAAAGCACAAAGCAAAAACCAAACAAAAACGGATTTGAGGATTATGGATTACTAGTCGCCCCTCTTTCCCGTGTGGGCCTGTGTTTGGTTTTAAATCTTATTGTCCCACCTGACAAATACCTCCCACAAGCCTGTCGGAAGCCAGGCTGGGAAACCCTGCCATTCAAGTCCACAGCAGCAAACTGTGAAGAGGATGTTCATATCATAGTACAAACAAGAGAGGCTAGCTAGTTAGGTTTTAATTTAATTTCACAGGATTCAGTGAACACAGAAGCCTGGGTTCATTTCCCTGCTCTGTTTCCACTAGCAGAATTCTATTGAAGAAAGAGCATGGTCTGCTTGAATGTGTTTTTCTTAGCTTTGAATAAAAACATAACTGTTATTCATACAGTCATTCATTTTACAAGAATTGGTTGGGTGTGTATTCTGTACTGACCCTCTCCATAGATGCCAGGTGCTTAGGGGAAGCTAGAACAGTGAGCAAAGATGACAAATCTT